CTCCCTACCCTGTTCAGGCGACCAGGCCAGCTGGTTGCTCTCGGTCTCCACAATCATGTTGGCAGCATCTTCGTCTTGGAACAGGGCTTGGAGCTGTTGCAGGTTGCCGGAGAACAGGGCGCTGTGGACCGCTGGGTCTCGGCAGGAGCGGCGAGGCCTAGTGAGTCGGGCCAGAGAACTTGGGGGGCACCTTTGGCTCCGGCAGAGCTGGGCTGCCGCCCTGCGCCTGTCCTCCCACTCCAGCCACTCCCGCTGCAGGCGGAGGGAGCGCAGCGTGGCGGAGGTAAAGGGGAAGGTCCCTTCAGCCATGGGACGGGGCCTGGGGCCTGGTTAGCGGCAGGTGGGCAGAGCCCAGTGACTACCACCCTTGCTGTGAGGAGCCACCCTGCCCCTCCCCCGTGGCCCAGAGAGAGCAGCAGCTGAGACTATAAATAGGCCCTAGGATCTCTGGTAAACACGGTTTGCCCAGAGTCCTGATCCTGGTGCAGAGGTGTTGGGCCAACCCCTCACCCACCCAGGGGTAGGGCCAGCCCCTGCCCCTGCCCCTGCTGATACCCTCCAATTGGGCAGCAGGCCCCCAAACGAGGCCTTCCCTGCACCCCGGGGTCCACATCCTCCCATCTCCTAGGAGTGAGCACCTTGGGTTGGCAAGGTCTGAGGTGACAGCAAAGACAGTTGTGAGCCTCTCCCCACCCTCGTAGCAGGGACAACATGGTCTATAGAAACTACCTTCAGTGAGTCCCCAAACCCCACCCCACCCCACCGCAGCTCCTGAAAGGGCTCACATGCCTGCCTAAGGGCCAAGGGCTTGACCTTGCAACTCTGGGGGCTCCAGACCAATGAGACCTTTAAGCCAGGAACCTATTCTCCACTCTCAGGAAAGTGGCTCTGCTTCCCGGAGCCTCTAGGGGGAGGACTGTGGCCGTGAAATAACATTCGCTGATGCAGTGGCAAAGCCAGGCAAGGGGAGGCAGGAGGGATGCCAGTCCCTGCGTCAGAAGGGCTCCTCCGAAGCGCAGCTGCAGGCGGGCTGGCCTAGCCCCAACCTGCCTGGGCTGCCGTGGCTGCCGCCTCCTCAGCACTGTAGGCTCCTCCCGGCTCCTCTGCCCCTGCACGGCCTCCCCTCCCCGGTTCGGCAGCAGCCCTTGCTCTGACTTCTTCCTCTCCCTGGTCCCCTCACACAAGGGAGTTCCAGCTCCCGTCCCCACATTGTCAGTCACCATCTCGATGTCTTTAACCTGGGCCAGCCCAGCCTCCTACCAGGTGTGTCTTCCTCTGGCCACCACCCCCTGCTTCACTGCCTGCATGGCAGGAACTAACTAAAACGGTTAATTCCTAGCGTGAAAACTTCTGCTGACTCCCAACACCTCCCCTCTCCAACCAAGCCCCTGTTCCTTCGTTTGGCCTCACTCCACATGGCATTCTCATCCTGCTCCTCACCCTTCCCTGACATTCCCTCTTCTTGGAATTCTCTTCTGGCTCTTTCCTTAAAGTCCACCTCCAAGGTCACCTGCTCTGGGGGACATCGCTGCAGCAGCGCCAGGTCCCCCACTCCTCCTCCCAGCCCCCCCACCTCAATCCATGCACTTTGTAAAGCACCTGTCCCCGTGCACTGTAGCCGCCTGTCTGCCGTGCTGGATGTGGGCTCCAGAGGAGGCTCAGAATTTATTCAGTTAGGTTTCTGGTCCCAGCAGGGCCTGGCACACAGTAGGTCTTGACATGGTGTTTAGGGGCACTTGGCACATAGCAGGCTGGCTTCTTCTGTGTAGTGCATTGACTGAGGGCCCCTGTTCTCTGCCAGAGCAAACACTCATCAGCCTGCCCAAGTGGGTGGCAGCAGCCGGGCTGTTTCCGGCGCTGCCTTTACCCTGCTGTTCACCCACTCTGGCCCCGGCTTCTTGGTGGTGTTCCAGCGTGAGGGATCCCAGAGGAGGGATGAGATCATGCACAGTGAGGGCTTAGCGATCCTCAGAGAAAGGCGCCTCTATAAACACAGCAGTGATTAACCCTGTTGGAACCCATTCAGTGTTTTAATTGCCCCACCAACGGCCTGGACTGAGCACCCACAGCTGGGTTCCCAGGGTTGGGAGTTGGCAAGGCCAGGTGGGGCCAAGAGGGGCCAAGGTGGGGTGGGCGTCCCCTCCCTTGTGAGGTGCACAACAGTCATGGCCTGTGGGGCCCACGATTGTGCTGACCTTCCCAGCCTCTCTGTAATCTTCTTGTCACACAGGCCTGGAGGTGCTCTGGCTACAGCTCAGTCCCCAGAGATACCATGTGTTCTGTCTCCTGTCTTTCGCCTCAACTTCCTACAGGCAGAAAAACTGTCCTTAAGGTTAACTTCCCGAGACCTATACTTCAACCCACACATGAGCTCACAGGGAGCCCCGTTCTACTGGCAGGAGCAGTGCCGGGCGATGGGACACCCAACCTGCCTTCTTGGAGCTCAGAACCTGTGTGGAGATGAAGCGCATCAAGAGAAACCAGGACATCAGCCAGGACTGTGAGCGGTAGGGGGCTGAATGGGGAAGGGCACTGCAGTCAGGGGTAGGGGGTAGTTTAGGTGCATGAAGACCACAGATCTAAGCTACAAAGGCAGAGCTGGGGAGTTAGCAGTGGGTAGAAGAGAAAGACATGCAGGGAGGACCAAATGGGAGTGCGAAGGGGCAAGGGTGCTGGTGGATTAGTCCTTTCTTGCTCCTGGGCTTAAAACACAAAAGCCTTCCAGGACAGGGCCCCATTGCAACCAGCAGCTAGCTGAGCATGCAGTTCTTAAAGCACTTGTTCACTTCAGGCTTGAGGGGGGATCCATGGGATCAGTCCCTTAGGGAAAAGGGAGATTAACACCTCCCCCCAGAACAGCTCCGAGCACATGAGAGGTCCCTGACTCAGCTGCTTAGTGGAGACAGGTGGAAATAGGGGAGGCTGGTGGTCAAACTGAGGTATTTTTTTATTGATTTCAGAGAGGGCGATAGAAACATCAATGATAAGAAAGAATCGTTGATTAGCTACCTCCTGCACACCCCCTACTGGGGATCGAGCCCACAACCTGGGCATGATGGTCAACTACTGAGCCACACTGGCTGGGCCAAAGTGGGGTCTTTAACCCACACCTCCTCTTTCATGAGTTGAGAGACTCATCCTTTCTTCCCTTTTTTCCAGGAAAAGAAAACAAAGTTGGCAACTTGGTACCATTAGACCTTTTACACTGCACCCATGTCCCTTGTGCAACTCTGGTATAAAAGGTGGTATAGCTCTAACTGGTTTGGCTCAGTGGATGGAGCATCGGCCTGCGGACTCAAGGGTCCCAGGTTCGATTCCGGTCGGGGGCATGTACCTTGGTTGAGGGCACATGCCCAGTGGGGAGTGTGCGGGAGGCAGCTGATCAATGTTTCTCTCTCATCGATGTTTCTAGCTCTCTATCCCTCTCCCTTCCTCTCTGTGAAAAAATCAATAAAATATATTTTAAAAAAAAGTGGTATAGAGAAGCTACAGTGACCAAGAGTTGCTTGACAAAATAAAGTAGTATTAGGTTATAACCCAAAGCATAGAATAAATACCCATGAGTCCATACTGATATAAATGAATGAATAAAAATGAGGGATACATCATTTCAAAAAGAGCTTATGGGACCCAAACCAGGAACTCTTAATGCTGTGACCTAAGATTTAAGTTCTCCACAGGATGTAACAGGCACTCAATAGTGCTATGCTTTCCTGAGGAGATATAAAATTTAGCTGCTCATATCAATGATTACTGATGTGGGAAAATAAATGTTTTCCAAGTTTAAAAGAAAAAGAGAGAGAATAGGCCAATCACCCATGCAGAAGAATTCCAAATAATGTATATGAATACCCTTCCCTCAAGGAGGTAAAGTATGACCCTCATGCCTTGTGTGTGGGCTGCACACCGTGACTTCCTTCCGAAGAGGACCGGAGAAGGAAGCAGGGTAACTTTACAGTGGACAAACCTGACAAACCCTCCCTCAGCCAGGTGACCAAGGCCAACATCAACCCTGCCATGATGTGATGAGAATAGCACATTACCTCTGTGGTCTTCCTCCAAAAACATAACCCCAGTCTAATCATGAAAAAAAAAAACCCAGGCAAATTCCAGCAGAGGGACACCCTATAACAGGGGTCGGCAAACTTTTTGACTCGAGGGCCACAATGGGTTCTTAAACTGGACCGGAGGGCCAGAACAAAAGCATGGATGGAGTGTTTGTGTGAACTAATATAAATTCAAAGTAAACATCATTGCATAAAAGGGTATGGTCTTTTTTTTTTTTTTTAGTTTTATTCATTTCAAACGGGCCGGATCCGGCCCGCGGGCCGTAGTTTGCCCACGGCTGCCCTATAACATGCCTGAGCCGCTCTCCTCAAAGCTGTCAAGGCCATAAAACAAGGAAAGTCTAAAACAGCCACAGCCAAGAAGAGCCTAGAGCAGGGGTAGGGAACCTTTCTTCTGCTAAGGGCCATTTGGATATTTCTAACATCATTCCGGGACCATACAGAATTATCAACTTAAAAATTAGCCTGCTATGTTTGGTCAAACATTTAATTAACTCACCCCTGATGCCTTGGCAGGGCCAGACCAAATGATTTCGAGGGCCTCAGGCCCAGACGTTCCCCACCCTGGGTCTAAAGAGACATGATGACTAAATGTAATGTGGGAACCTGGAACAGAGACAGGACATCAGGAGAAAATGGAGTAAATGTGAATAACGTATGGAGTTCAGTTAATAATAATGTATCAGCACTGGTTCTTGGGGACAAAGCTACCATACTAATATCTGAGGATAATAAGACGAGAAACTGGGTGTGGGGTATTATGGGAACTCCCTGTAATATCTTTGCAATGATTCTATAAATCTAAAACTGTCTAAAAGAAAAAGTTTATTTAAAAAAGAGAGAGAAAACGAGTAGCCTAGCTCTGCTTGGTCAGAGCACCACTGGCAGAGTGAACAGGGCAAGGAGCAGTGAGGAAGGAGAGAGGCGGGTGACACAGGCAGCTGCTTTATTTCAGAACAAGATACCACAGCCACGCCCCTTGCCCCGCACCTGTGAACCTCGGACACAGGTAAGCTGGGCAGCTACAGGCCTCCAGAGACAAAGCAGAGGGAAGTCTGAGTGCTCCTCCCCTGTCCACAGGGACAGAGCGCCACGGCTGTGGTGTGGCTCCTCCCCGCTCCTCAGCTGTACAGGGACTAAGGAGTAAAGGGACCAACCAGATCCAACGTCCTGCAAAGTCAAGATGAGGTGGGAGGGCGACACACCTTCCCTGTTGGCAGGAGCACAACGATGCGCCCAGGGCCTGGCAGACAGCAGGGCAGGAGAGCCAGTCTTGGGCCGAGTTCTGGTATGCCCACGAAGACCCAAAGTGACGACAGTGCAGATTCCAAGGGACAAGGGTGTTCTCGGGGAAGGCATCCAGGTGGGAGCAACCACAGAAGTCCCGAGCTTTGCCGATCTCTGATCATGCTGATCTTCCTCCCCTTGGGCATGATCAGACACCAGAGCCTTGCCTGACGCTCAGAGGCTGCCTGCTCATGGTGGGTGCCCTGCCTTCGGGGGGTCCCATGTGCCGGTTCCACAGAAGAAGTCCTCAGGGAGCTCACTCAGGAGTCCGTCCAGGTCATCTGCAGGGGGGATGGGAAGATTGACAAGTCCAAGGTTCTTGCCATTTAGGAGGGCCCGGACCTGGCAGCACAGTTAGGAGGTGGCTCTCCCTGGGCAGTGGCGTCTGGGCCAATAGGCCTAGGTCTGACCTGACCTCCATCTTCCCTCTGTTCCCCACGTACTCACAAATGACAAGAGGCAGGAGCCCATCCTGCTGAGAAAAAGGCTCCCCTTGGGCCTCAGTGGTTCCTTATTTTAAATTTACTGATTGATTTTAGAGAGGAGAGGTAGGGAGAGAGAAAGAGAGAGAAACATCGATTTGTTGTTTCACTTATTTACGCATTCATTGGTTGATTCTTTATATGCTGACTGGGGACTGAACCCGCAACTTTGGCGTATCAGGATGACTCTCTAACCAACTGAGTTACCCAGCCAGGGCTGGTTCCTCTATTTCCATCCAGAGGCACAGTGTCTGAACGGAAAGGCTTCCGAGGTCTCCTGGTGCAACCCTCTTCCTGGACAGAGGGAGGAACAAGGCTGGGAAAAGCCAGATGTGTTCAGAATCACACAGTCCATTCATCTGGCTTCTCTTCTGAAGAGTGGGAGATATTATCCTGTCCCCCAAAGGGCCTCTGTGGAGGTAGGAATAAAAGTAACTGTTCCTGCCCTGGCTGGTGTGGCTTAGTGGGTGGAGCATCGGCCTGAGGACTGAAGGGTCCCAGGTTCGATTCCGGTTAAGGGCACATGCCTGGGTTGTGGGCTCAATCCCCAGGAGGGGGCATGCAGGAGGCAGCCGATCAATGATTCTCTGTCATCATTGATGTTTCTATCTCTCTCTCCCTCTCCCTTCCTCTCTGAAATCAATAAAAATATATTAAAAAAAAAAGTAACTGTTCTTGACTAGTCCTCAGGTGGGGTGATTGTGAATGAGAATTTGGAAACTGAGCTGACCTCAATAATCGCTGTTGCTCCTATGATGGTTAGTCATAGCAGCTAACACTTAGTGCTTGCTCTGTGCCGGTCACATATGTTACACTCATCACTTCATTCACACCTCACAGTACCCCTTCCTAGGGCATCACATGGTAGTTCCTGTTATAATCCCCTTTACTGAAGGACAGGGTTTAAAGGGTCAAACTGCTTGCTCGGGGTGAGCATACTTAGGCTCCATCTGATGCCACAGTCACAGTTTCAATAGAAGCTCCTGCTTCATGGACGGGGTCAGGCAGCCGTAGGAGGAAGTCAGACTGGAAGCTACACCTGCAGAGCCCAGCACCCAGTCTGGCACAGAGCACACAATGAACACTGCTGCTAGAAGGACAGAGTCAGTTTGGGGCACTTACGCTTTAATTAAGGTGACCAGCATTGTTCTCAGAGAAGCAGGACTGGAATTTGATTATAACAAAAAGGTTGCCCCTCAAATAGTCACTATTTGAAGAAACACTATGTTAAATGAAATGAATAGTCAGGGAACGGGGAAGCAGAGTAAGAATTAGTATTTGTGTCTCTGAGCTTGTCCAGCCACCACTAGCAGCTGCCTGCTTGGCAGGTCTGCCCGTACAGGGGAGATGTGATACCAGCTGCAATATTCTACAGGCAACCTCCTCACTCTTATTCCATGACCCCAGAAACCTTCTGATGACGGTGTGGTCTGCCATCAAGCTTACTTACAAGGACAGAGTGCAAGTTTCCAGAGAAGTTTCCAGTATAAGGAATACTTTTTCATAGGCTATAACTAAGTGGGCTTTGCGGCTTATCCATTGGTCTACTGTGAATTTGGTCAGGATGGGAAACCTGCCTCTGTGGTCTGGCCATCAGCCCACAGAAGACTCAAGGGCGGCACAAGGATGGTGTCAGTCCACCTCCTCCTTTTTTTTTTTTAATATATTTTGTTGATTTTTTACAGAGAGGGAGGGAGGGGGATAGAGAGTTAGAAACATCGATGGGAGAGAAACAACGGTCAGCTGCCTCCTGCACACTCTCCACTGGGGATATGCCCGCAACCAAGGTACATGCCCTTGACTGGAATCGAACCTGGGACCCTTGAGTCCGCAGGCCGATGCTCTATCCACTGAGCCAAACCGGTCAGGGCTCCACCTGCTCCTGTGGCTAACAGTACATGGCCTGGAAACGGGGGGTGGCTAGTGGGCAACACTCTACTTACTCTATGTGGCCCCTATCACACTGTTAATTATTTTGTGGCCTCCAGGTTTGCCAGAGAGGGCACCCATATGATTTCTGTAAGATTCCATAAGGTCCAAAGATTGATGGGAGGAACAAGGTGCAGCCAGAAGAATTTGGCGGAGCAATTCAAGAGGAATAGAATTTCCTCTGTTCCCGGGCGGGCTGATTGTCTTACCTGCTTCCGGGGGTACTTCTTGCGGGAATGCCCCTGCCTCTGGGTTCTGTGCTGCTCTGAGGTCTTCCCCAGGCTTTGCAGTCTCATGCTGGAGGCTGCCATGGAAGCTACCTGGCTCCTAGCAACACAGGATCTGGTTACCAATGCCCGTGCCCCTGAAACCCCCTGGTTAGTACTAGCTCCACACAGACCACCTCAAAGGAATAGGTGGGGGCTTAGGAAAGATGGGACGAAGGACTGTGGCAAGGGCCAATCACCCGTGCCCGGGCCAATCACCCGTCCCCAGGCCGAAACACCAGACATCCAAAACAGCAGATAATTAAAAACACAAAACAGAAACAAAAAACCTTTCTGGCTGATTTTCTTTCCTAATTCTATTTTATTTTTAATAGTCAATAATTTAATATGGCCTCATGCGCCCTGAACCTAATTCTATTTTTATCTGATATTTTAGGGAATCTATATAACTGGAGCAGGAAGTAAAGGGGTCATTCAGAAATACGTTGAGGAGTTAGCCTGGGATTAAGAATTAGCTGTTAATCCCCAAACTAGCTAATATATGGACAGGTAATTAAAACTTGTAACTAAATCATTAACCATGGTTAGCTCTGGGGAATGGGAGTAGAGAGGTTAAATTTCATGTTTTGCTTTATTCTGTACCATTTCAATTTTTTTCAGTGAGTATTGATGACTTTAAATTTAAAAGAAAAATAAAGATTTTTTTGGAGTGAGGTGGAAGGTTAAATAGAAAGAGGGAAATGGAAGTTGCAAGTTAGAACTAAGGGTGTAAGTTGACTAGAAGCCACTGATTCTAACCCACCCGTTTTATAGATGAAGCAACAGCAGGGGAGAAGCTAGGACTTGCCAAGGTCACATTACAAATTGCCAGCAGAGTGGGGACATGACCCAGGTCTCCTGACCCTGGGCCAGGCCGTGACACCAGCCCAGGATCCCAGGAAGGGTGGGAGTGGCCACAGAGGAGATGCCGTGCCAAGTCAAGGCCGGGCTCTGCTCACAGCCTGGAGTAGAGTCGTCTGGAAGCCCAGTCTCCCTCAGTTCCCAAAGGGGTGTCCCCACCTGAGTTCTGTGTGGGTATCCCCACACTCAGCAAAGGGAAGATGCAGAGCAAGTGCTGGCTCACCGGACGGGCCGCTTGTAGCTCACTGTTCTCTGCACTGCCACCTGCAGTAGATCTGACCCTCAGTCACTCACTGAGGCCAACCTCCCCTCCCCCCATGGACCCTCAACTTGTCAGTTCTCAAGTGACTCCGGCCTCTCCAATGTTCAAGTCTCTCAGGGATCACTAAGAAGCCAGCTCTTCTTCTAGGCCGTGTTACTGTGCCATCTGGCGGGCAGCTGGACCAGAGACAGGAAGGATGGCCCTGTCCCCAAAGGCATCTCTTCAGCTCAGGGTGGAGGGGACGAAATCAGAAGACCCAGGCAGGAAGTGGCTCTACAGTCCCCATTCCAACCCGCTCTTCTTACCTTGGGGAAGGGCTGAGATGACCTGAGGAGGTTCCCATCCCCAGAATCTGGGCTGTAAATATGGACCAGGTTGTTGGGCGTCACATTGAGGTAGTGGTTTCGGAGCGAAGGAGAAAACACTCCAATCTGGAGTCAAGGAAGAGGAAGGTCAGTGCCCTGATGAAGCACTAGATGCTGCCAGATGGCCACCTGGTCCCCACTCGTTTCTCCCTTCTCAGTCTTTGCACGAGGATCACACAAATCATCCTGCCCCAGCCCTGATGTCAGAGTAGAACCACTTACCACACCCTCCTCCCCCAACAGCACAAACCCCATCCCATCCACCCCCAAAGAATGGGGTTGTGTCTTTACTCAGCTCCAGTAAGGCAGGGTCAGCACAGTCCAACAACTCCTTGCCTAGGTACTGGGAGGGAAGAGAGCCACACAGACAGCTCGGGGCTCCTCCAGGGCAGGAGGTGGCGAGCAGCTCCCATACCTGCTTTAGCAGCAGCACGGAGCCGGGCTTCAGCTCATTCTGGCGGGTCTCGAGCAGCAGCCGATGCACCGTGCCCTGCATCTCCCCTGCAAAGGCATGGCCCATCAGTGTCAGGACCAAGGGCAGCAGAGACTGGCTGGGCTCTGGCTGCGAAGTGGGCTGCTCACTACTTCAATTTTCTCATCTACAAATGGAGACACTCCCGGGACCCAACTCCTCACCCGTGGGGTCCTTGAAAACCGCGCTGGCGTCCATCGTGCTCCGAGTCAGGGACTTGATCATCACTGCCATGTTCGGCACCTTGTTCCTGGGAAGCTGCTTCAGGGCTGCCTGGTTGCAAGGAGAGGTATTTGCTGAGCCAGCCACGTCCCAGTTGTAAGATTCCCAAGTGTGCCAGGGCAAACTGGAGGGTGGCGGGGGAGGGGACAGAATACAGGGTGGTGACGATCTTCCCTTGTGGAGGGCAAAGCAGCAGTTTAAAGGGCTCATTTCATCTCCCTCTGGCAGACCTTCCTCTCTCCCCGCCTCCCTTTTTCGTGTCCGTGTATTTATGTAGAGCTCTATCATGTTAGGCCACAGGCAAGGGTATGTTAGCACATGCACTAACATGTGTCTGCATGTGACCCTTGACCTCTGGGGAGCAGTGTGCTTACTCCCCCATCCAGGGCCTGACTGTGCAGAGACATGCCCCGAACGCACTCTCTCCTCTGCCCGTGCCCAATGCTGTGATGACAGTGGAAAGGAAGGTGAATGAAAGATAACAGCTGAAGGGACTTCATTCAGAAAAAGGCCTCGGGTAGGAGGGCGCAAACAGAAGCCCCTTCGTAAGGTGGAGCAGGGCAGGTTGGTGAAAAAGACAAAAAGGTCCTCCTTTTGGTCTCAGCACCCAGGACCTTACCTTCCGCAGCACCATGACGATGCTGTAGGTACAGAGGAAGCAGGTGGGGTCTCTCTCATCCAGGCCCAGAGCAGATTTCATGGTCAGCCAGGGCCCTCGCCCGAAATCCTCTTCCACGGATGTCTGGGAACTACTAACAATCTGGCACCGCAAATCAGAGGGGGAGCTGCATGAATGGGTCCACCTTGCGACAGACCTCCGTTGAGACAGGATGGAGGGGGGAGAGAAAGGGAGTTCCCTGGCGTGGAGGCCACAGTGTCTTCTGTTGTCTCTCTCTAAGGTCAGATGATGGCATGTGAAATCTTGTTTTATCACAATAATATCATACTTAGAAGCAATAGCAAAGGCACTCTTTCTTTTCTTTTATATTAAATCAGGTCCTGACTTTAATTATATCAAAGCAAAAGGCTATCCGTGCCTGTCTCTTGTATCAGACTGGAAAAGCCTCAGGGCTAGAGAACCCCCACATACATTTATAGGCTTGCAGAGTGCCTCAGCATTCTGAAACCTGTCATATTTTATTTGGGAGGCCTCTGGCTTTCACAGTTAGCCCTCTTCATCAAAAAATGCTTTGATTCAGATGAGTATTTACTGCTTTGGATCTGAAATGGGCTGGTTGATCTGTGGAGCTGCAGCAAAGAGAAAAACTACCATAGAGAATTAGAAGCAAAGTAAGTCTGAGGGCAGGTCAGCCAAAATGCCAGGGAGGAGGGAGGCTGTTTCACCTACCAAAAGGCAAGATGAAGGCAGATCCCTCTCAGCTTAATTCTCAGAAACCTGGGAAGTGTTCCTGAGATACAATTTCCTAATACTTATTACATGCTTCTCCCGAGAAAAGATGGCGTTAGCTGGGCCTTTCCTCTTAGATGGGGAAGAAAGCTGGCTCATGGCATCGGTTATCACCCGGTTGGCATCAGGACAGGCTTCACCTTATGCCACTAAAATTGCCACCTCCCCAAACTGCCTCTCCCAACTCCCCTTTCGTGTGTGACCCCAGGGGAAGGCCTCGCAGCATCAACTCTGATTCTCAACTCCTGAAAGATGCAGGGATGTCCCTCACTCTTAAATGATGCCCAAGAGGTTGACATTTGCACAGAATTAGTTACCTCTGTCCGGAATTTAGCCAGAGCACCATGAGTCGGAGTCTGGGGCGTGGAAACCATGATCTCCTCCAGATTCTTCCCACTGAACTACACGGGGAGAGAGAAGGAGGTGAGAGCAAGCGCAGCAGCTGTTATCTACAAGTGGAGCTTCTTGTCTGGGTTACATAATGAGCTCAGGAAACTCTCAGGGACAATGAACACATATTACATCTCTCCTAACGAAGTCTCAGGAGCCCCACTGGCAGCTCAAAAAAGATGCTTTGGGGATAGTTTTGGGAATGTGAGGAAGATGGAGCTGGCCCAGGAGCAAAACCCAGAGCTTCCTGAAGGGGGCGATGACCTGAATAGAGAGGCCAGTGATATGCAAAAGGACAGCTTTTCCCAACTCCCTTCTCAGGGACCTAATCCTTCCCTGCAGACTTCCCGCCTTCAGGAATGTATATGGCCTCCTTGGATTTCTCTTAAAGTGCTGGAAAGAGACACTAACAGGTGGGAACTGTCTCCAACACCTTTACAACGATAGGCAAGGGGTGCGCCTACATGACCAGACCAGATCCAGAGTCCAATGGTCTAGGAGCTGATTCAAGACTAGTTTGAGGGGTCCTGTCCCCCCACCACTGCTGAAATCCAAGCTCTCAGCACAGCCTCAGCTTCCCCACGTGGATCCCACATGCCAGTCACAGTGAACTGTCCCATGGCTCCCCGAGAGCATCCTGCTCTCATGCCTCTGTACCTTTGCACATGCTCCTCCTGTCTTCCCACTGAGATGTCCCCGAGCCCAGCCTTCTGACACACACCGGACCTGCTTGTCCATCCAAAGCCCACTCAGAAGGCCCAAGGAACCCAGTGTTAGTACCCAGAGATGACCTCTACTCACACTGTGCATTTTGTGTATAATTGTTTGTTTGCATTTCTTTCTTCTCCTAGAAGCAGCTCCTCAGGACAGGAACCATTTCTATTTTAATCTGCATTCTGAGTTCCAAGCAAACTGCCCAACTTAGCAAATGTAAGTGAGGGAATATTCCTTTCTCAGTGGTAGCAAACAGCAGTTACTCAACAAACATATGCAAACTGTGAAGTTCTCACCCAGCTGGCGTGGCTCAGTGGCCGACCTATGAACCAGGAGGTCACAGTTCAATTCCAGGTCAGGGCATATGCGGGGTTGTGGGCTCGATCCCTAGTGTAGTGTGGAGCATGCAGGAGGCAATCAATGATTCTCTCTCACTGTTGATATTTCTATCTCTCCCTCTCCCTTCCTCTCTGAAATCAATAAAAATATTTTTAAAAAGAAAACTGTGAAGTTCTCAGAGCCTTAAGCACCCCTATCATGTGTGGTTTTCCAAGCATTCAATTCTTCCTTCACACTTCTTTTGATTCTGCCACAGATTTGAAGCCCCCCCCCTTCCTTCCTTCCTTCCCTCCCTCCCCCAGGAGTGAAGATATTCTGGGACTGGACAGGGCTGCAACTCTGCTTCTCTCCTTTGCTCTCCTTCCCCCAACATCCTGGATGCTCTGGCTCCTGCCAGAGAGAAGCTGTCACTCACTTGGTGCGGCAGGATCCCTGCTGGGCCAGGGAAGCGGCGTGTTTGGGCTCGGGTGGGAGTGCGCGTGGGCGGCTGGGGTGTCCGGTTGGCTGCAGTGACCAGCTGTACCAGGTGGTTGGTGACTATGGGTGTCTGCAGAGCTGCTTGGGGACCCTTGGGGGTGCTGACAGGAGACTCAATTGAAGACAGTGGAGCTCGGGGTTGTAAGGGCCCCCGAGGGAAGAATCCAGAGCCGGTCCTTGAGAGAGTAGAACAGCTCGAGTTGGGAGTTCGTAGAAAATTAGGTTTGCCACTTAAGTGGGCATTTGGAGATTGGAATGGCTGACTGGGGACACGATTTTGAGGGCTGCTCTGAACAGGCCTCCCAGTAGCTTGGAGAGGCTGGGGTCCTCGAACTGGGGAAGCTTTGGGGCAGACTTCCCAGTGGGTTTGCTGAGCGGGAAGTGTCGAGGCAGTTGGGATAGGCAGGTTACCCATGGCACCCGTCCTCAAGTGGGGCTGTGGAGTCCTACAGTAGACGGCAGGATCTGGAGGCTGCCCCTGGGCTGATGTGATACCAGTTATGTGGGTGGCAGGCATGGGGCCCTTTTGGCAAGATCTGCTCAGAGCAGCCACCCGAGCCTTTTTAGTCAATACCGAGTCTTCCTGCTGCCCGGTGGGCAGGATTCCTGTTGCCTCACTGTTAACTCCAAGTTCCAGCTCCATGCCAGGCCCTCCCAGTTCCATGCTTGCCAGGACCTTATCAAATTCATCTTGCTCAGGTCCCTCGAAGCCACCAATCACCTGCTGCTTGCTCTCAAAGGTAAGCAGGGGGTGGGAGGCTGAGGACTGTGGTCTTGCTGGTTCTTTGAGCACTTCTGTCAGTGTCACTCTTCTCTGACTGCCAGTCCAGTTGCTGGAAGTGGAGACAGGCCTTAGGAGGGCTGTTCCTGTGGAAGCGGCACCCCTGCCGGAGGTAGGAAGGCGGAGTCCCAGGGCTGGTAGGTCCAGAGCCTCTGAGGAAGCAGTAGGGCATGATGGCGGCTGCCCCGAAGACCGTGCCTGCACCGTGTCCTGCGGCCTGGAAGAGGCAGGTCGGAGGCACCCAGCATTCACGGGCCCTGAGCCAGCAAACTGGTTCTCTGCATCTTCCACAGCAGACAAGAAATCCTACAAAGAAGCAGAGACAGTGAGAAATCAAGAAACGCTCTGCTTTTACTGCTAAGGCACGTGGTGTGTATATATGTGCAGCTACACAAAAGCAAGACCCAAAGCATGAAAGGCAATGGTGGAGTCTCCCACCACGCTTGATCTTGCCCTTGAGCCCTTACCTCCAGGCTTCTACCAGAAACATTCACAGGCTAAGTCTTCAAGTAGCTTTAGTCAATCGTGAGTGGGCGTTGGGAAGTGGGGGGTGGGCAGTGGTGGCAGTTGGGGGAGCAGCAGGAGAAGTAAATATAGTAGGGCACCAACGAGTCAAATAAATCCCCCAAGGTCACAAGGAGTCTAGCTTTCTGCTATCCAGCCTGTGAAATAGGGATTTGTCCAGCTGGTCATGCTGCTTGTCCTTACCCCACCACACACACACACACACACGGCCTTCAGTAAGCCAGAGAGGCCTAATAGGCAGCAGGTAAATATAGCTTTACAGGCAAGTTAAATTAAGTATGGGTTCCAGTTGGGAAGCAAGGTGAGACTGACATCTTCAAGAGCAACAGACCTGTTCCGAGGGTGTTTTTGAGTCAGAACTACTGATTTAACTGACAGGAAGGTCCCCGCCGCCCCCACCCCCTGCTGCCACACTGGATTGTCTGGGCTAGAGAAAGGTTTTTTCCTGCTTTGTGTATTAGCATACTCCAACACCACTGCCTTAGGATTTAACAATAAATTAATAACATTAGAATTATTGTAGCCATAAAAGACTGGTGACCTTGGGGGTTGATGGATCTTTTCCCAGGAAGACCTCACTTTCAGATGTGATATTATCTGCCTTGGGAAGGGGAAAAGATCTGGTCATGGATCAGAAACTTGAGTTGTCAGAGTTCTTTACTCTTAATTTCACTACCAGCCTAGCAGCCCTACCATCACCTGGTAAGACTCAAAAGGGTCAATTTAACAGTCACCTTTTCTGTAATCACACATCTCTAAAGCTAAAAGACAAAGAAAAGGACACATCTTCTTGACAAAGCTGGAAGTTTTGAATTATTTGTAAAAATAACAGTCAAGTCCCCAAGTGATAATAAACATATCTAACATCTGAAACCTCACTAGGCGTCAGGTACCATGTAAATATTTTACCAGAATTTTTTCAATGAATTCTCACATTGGCCCTATGAATAGGTACTGTTATTATTCCTGGTTTTTGGAAGCAGAAACTAAGACTCAGAGAAGTTAAGTAACTTCACAGAACCACAACTAGAACCTATATGTGCCCTTGTCACTATGTCATACGGCAGGGGTCTTCAAACTACGGCCCGCGGGCCACATGCAAATACAAATGTTGTATTTGTCCCCGTTTTGTTTTTTCACTTCAAAATAAGTTATGTGCAGTGTGCATAGGAATTTGTTCATAGTTTTTTTTTTAACTATAGTCTGGCCCTCCCTCAAACAGTCTGAGGGACAGTGAACTGGCCCTCCGTTTAAAAAGTTTGAGGACCCCCTGGTCTAGACCGTGTTAAGCTCGGAGGCTATACAGCCTGTCTTTTACCTGCCGTTGGGGCAGATGGAGTCGGACATAGCTGATGAAGCTTTGAAGGGCTGTTCTTTTCCAAGCAAGAGGAGGGGACTTGCTCTAACAGGCTCTCCTCTCCCCCAACAACTGAGCTACCCTCACCCTCTGACT